TCTACATTATGCATATCCTGGCTTCTTGGCCAAACTTCTTTGCCTATATTTGTGCATTTTCCTTATTGTTACTTCAAATATTTTGTATTTGATCTGCCTATTTAGATGTTTTTAAATGTTTATCTTCAAAGCATAAACATTTGTAAACAAAAGAAAAATGCAAGACATTTTCTGATTTATTGGCTGTAAGTGCTGTAGACTAAGAAAATGCTTTCTATAAAAGCTTTTTTCCCCTTTATATAACATTTTTCCCTTTATATAACATTTTTTCCTTTGTATAACATTTTTCAGCAAATTCTTAGTGCATGCCTATTTTATTATTTACTCTTTTCAATTTTTTGATTGCCTATTTTATAAATTTGAAGTATTGTTTAAATGATTTTGTTTCTTTTAACTTATCCTTTCCACTCTAAGTAGATTTTTCAAAATGTTATGTATTTTTTGCATCTTTCAATTTTTCTCTCTTCTCAAACCTAAATATTCCGGATGCATCATTTTATTCTCTGCTTTTGTAAAATCTTTAATCAAATAGTTGTTCTGTTTTTCTTTAATATTTACTTAAGTTTCATTTTTGTTCATTTTTGCATTAAATATTTTTATTTTTACTGTTTATAATTTTACGTATAAAGGCTAAAGTTTTAAATGTAAATTTACAACTATTTTTTTTAAAATCTCTAAAGTTTACATATTAAATAATTTAAATGACTAGAATATAAAATTAGGTTCCATGAAAGAAAATTATGCAAACCTTTGTTAAATGTGGGATCTAAATTGATTCATACTTTTATATTTTTTTTACTTTCTTTACTTGATAATATTTATTCAAATAGTTATCAAAAAGTGTATTCAGCCTTGTCTATTTTCACTTCTCTTATAAATTCAGTACTTTTATTTTCAAGAAATTATTCTTCATTCATCAAAAAGAAGCAATTTCTTAAATATGATGTTAAATTTTCTAATTGAAATTCTAAATAATGTTAATAGAATGCAGTTTTAACCAATTAACGATGATATTGTCTTCTCTTCTCCAATCATTGAATTATGGTTTTATTTAAACAAGAATACCTAAGGACTATTTTCTTTTGGCTGACTTCTCCTTTGACAGAAATGACATAATTGACATAGCGACTACTTTAGAAAACGTAATTATCAAAATGCACTTATCCCTCCATTCCTTTATAAATGTTATGCCTCTCTGTGCCAAACTGTTTTGCTGCTTCCTTTTTCATGTTCCTGCCACAATATTGATTTTAAAATTTACCTTCACCAATTATTCTGAAAGTTTAAATGTTAACAAAACATTTAAACTTTTTTGAATTTTTTATAAACCAAAACATCTTAGGCTTTATAAAATTTACATTTAAATTACACATAAAAATCAGCTTTTTCTCTCTCCCTTTTCCTAATTGCCAATTGTATGTATAGATTCATCTGTGAAATTTCTTAGGCTTGTTAAACCTGCTCTTCATTTGAAGCCTTGTATGGTGGGAACTTGGGAATTAAAAATGAAAATGTTCACTACTTACCATTTAATATATCTCCAATATGTCAGTTTCTTCTGATATTTAATCAAATATTTCTTTGCTTCCTATAGTTATTATGACTGTATATCTGACTTGATGTCTTGATCTAGATTCTATTTATGGCCAGTCTATTTATAATCGAGCTTGGCTTCTCCAGCTCTTCATGCTTCCTGGCTGTTCAAAGTTGGTAATTGTCAGTTTCAAACAACCAACTTTCTCTCTCATCACTACAGTTCGCTGAATTTTAGGCAACAAAAACATTTAGTGATATTCCCACAGCACAAATTATCTTTTTCTTTCTTTGTTTAATTTCCAATTTTTTTTCTCCTCTGATCAAATTAGATTTTCTGTCCTCATGCCATTTCTCTCATGCCTGTAACTTTTTGATTTTGTTTTATATATATATATATATATATATATATATATATATATATATATATATATCCTCTGCACATTGATTTGAATGCCTTTGGATAATCACTGCTCTGTCACCAAATCATTTTAGATACAGTTGTAATTGTGCACCAAATGTTTATTTTGTTATTATTAGTAGTAGTAGTCTTATGAATTCTTTTCTTATTTTGTTGCTAATGTTTACTTAGATCTGCAAAAGAATTGTGTTAAGACTGTTCTATGTAATAATCTTGTCATTGAATAGAGTAATAGTAATCAAGTCATTACCTTAGTTGATTGTACAACCAGAAATTGTGGAGGCCAGTTCGGAGAAAGATATTTTTTTAAATCTAGAAAGCTGCAACTTCTGCTATCTAGCAAACTAACAAGGCCTATTGCATTACGTCATTTATATATATATATATATATATATATATATATATATATATGAGTTTTAAGGTATGCTATATTTAAGGGCTGAAGTGCTCAATATCAGTGATAGAGCATATGTAAATATAAAAGTGGATATTGAAGTCAATACCCAGAGGCAACAGTCTGTTTCATACTTAAATGCAATTGTCAGGCCATTGATGATTGTGTTTAAGCATGAGATACTGTTGCCAGTGGGTATTGACTCCAATGTCCACTTATATATACACTGAATCTATCACAGTCTCAAGTCTGTGCCTCAGATTGTCATTTATTTAATAGTAAAAGAATGAAAAAATGACATTTCATATTTTTCAGTGAAGCAATTTTAAATCTCTTTCTTATATAATTTGACTATGAGGATTTGTAGTCCCTCCTCCTCTTCTTTAAGTGTCATATTTTTTCATGATAGAGGCAATCATGACTCTCCACAGATTTTTTTTTTCCTTAATATCTGCAAACTTTGCATTGCAATGATTGTTCTTGGGTAAGTTAGTGGAGTGATTTCTTGATGCTTTCTCTATAGTTTTAAAATCAGATTTATCCTTCTAGACTGGTTTCCAATCAATGCTAGAAAGTCTAGTCTGCTTTGTTATTTTACTCATTGTTAGAGAGAAAAGAGTTGAATTCATGCATTTTTCAGGATTTGAACTTGGTTTGCTGATTCCATTTTCATCAGCATTAACTAACAGTTCACTCCACCTCCCACAATTTATTGTTGTGTGAAAGAAGTTTAAGCCATTGTGCTTGCATTCATCAATTAACTTGCTGTGTTATTTTATAGTTAAGAGGAGAAATACTTCTTCAGGTCCTGTAACCAAATGTGATGAAAATTTAATTAAAACATTTTATTTAAGCATTTTTACTTTGTTTCTCTTTCTATCAATCCATTGGAAATTGGAAAGATGTATAAAAAGTATGTTAAAATTATTTAGAATTGTTACTGTATAGTATGAATCCAGTAATCTACAAGATGTGATAATCTCATTAAACAACTCATCTAATCTGATTCTAGAACCATGGAGATCAGATTATCTATTTTATATAGTCCATCTATATATTTTAAATCTTTACTTCTCTTGGGTCTTGTACACAGCGAAAAATCATTGTAAAAAAAGAAGAAAAAAATCTTTAAAATATCTAATTTCCCAAACTGGTCCCCACAGCTGCACTAGATCTATTGTCTTGTATTGCAGTTATTTTTATTTTTTTGTCTTTGTTACTTAAAGAAATGATATGTGGTGTGTATCCTAAGGCATTCATATTACATTGGTGCCATGCAAATTATTTTAGTCAATTCACTGATTTTTACCTTACTCTTGTTTTGTTTTTATACCTTTGTTCTGTTTTTTTTGTTTTTTTTTCTCTGCATACTCTTGGAAAATGAAACCTTTTAGTCAATGTATTGTTGGATTTTTTTTTTTTTTAATGGTCTTCAATAGTTTTTGGTTGAACAGTAGAATCTTGTCATCACTATTATGATATAACAACTATTTCACTTGGTGAATACACTTCATTATAACATTAAAATTATATTCGTTAATGTTTCTGTTTTATGCACTTTCAATGAAAATGGCTATTAGCATAAGCATTTACATATATAGAGGGTGCAAAAGTAGATATACAGTAATGAAAAACAAAATATGTCCTTTACACATTCCGAGAAAAAGAAGTCCATAGGGGTGAGAACTGGTGAACTTACTGCATACCTACTTTTGCAGCACCCTGTATCACCACAACTATGAATTCTCATTATATGTGTAGAGATTAACTTTTTGTTTATCATAACCTGGAGCTTAAACTCTAAGCTTTTTATATTATTATATACTAGCAAAAGAAAACTTTTTTTTTTTTTAAAATTGCCATAGAGAAAAAAATATTATTCACTTAATTTGGATAAATTTAAGAGAATGTATCAGTAACAAGTGATTTTTATTTATTTATTTTTTTTTTATTGGGATTTCAAAATTCTACAGTGGTTCACTATGTGAATTAGTATTGTTCATTACTGAATGATTTGAATATTGAGTGTGCAGAAATGATTTTGGGTTTAGCTTTCTTGGATTTGTCAGAAGGATTTGAGCCTGTATGATTCAAATCATTAGATTTGAGTCTAACTGCAGGTCATTTTATTTTAACTTAATTTTTTAACATTTTCATCATTAAAAGTGAGTTGAGATGGTATCTAAGAAATGGCTTTGAAAATGACTTCAATCCTTTTTGCCAAATATTCTCGATGTAATGACTTATTTACTAAAATCAATCCTTATTTATTTTATTATTCACTTTTCAACATTTTCCCCTCTTTAACAATAATTATCAATACATATTAGATGTTAATAAAACAATTTAATGTTTTCATTTTTTTTATAAAGAAAAATAGTGATTTTATTTTTAAAAAATTAACTTGAAATTTTGTGTTTAGAAATTGCAAATGCAACTATTACCTTGGCTCAAATCATTTTAACAAACAAGAAAACAAAATAATGGTTCCTTTTCTAAAGTATGCATTTTGATTGCATTTATTTTCTTCACCCTCTCCTCCTCCCCACAATCTTGTATAAACTACTGTTTTTGTTTTCCTTTTCTTTTTTTTTCTTTTTTTTGTTCCCTGATTTGCATTTTAGTTTGTACCACTGCTCCCTTATTTTCCAGCCCCTCCTCCCCCTGGCAAGTCGTCGTCAGCCAGTGGCTAGTGGCTCTTCTCCATGTGGTGAGGAGGAGGGGGAGCAGGCGCACCACCTCCCCAGCACACACGTGCCTGATGTGGCCACTGAACCAACTTACATGACCACCAATTGCTCCTTATCAAGTGACTCCATTTCAAAACAAACTGACGATGTAAAAACCGCCGACGAATCCTGGACAATTGTCGAGGTTGAAAATGAGCAAACAACTAGTTCACAGCCAGTTGAGTCACTGAACACAAAAAAATTTATCTCACCAGTAAAGACAATACCTCATCGAACGAAATCGAACAAACTACCAAAGCCAACTGCAACAGTTTCTCCAATAAAACGCTCTCCATCTGAATCTAACATTAGAAAGCGAAATTCTACCAGAGAAGACGACTCTGTATTTTGCAATAGTACATCTAGTCGAAACCTGCATGAAACCCACAGTTCTATATCAAGGGAGGCTTACTCTGACGTAAACTTAACTGAACCATACCCTGACATGGACGCCAATAGTCCTTGTGCAGATCCCAAAGACTCAGAACCTTCAATATTCAGAAAAATGAGCTCCAGTCTCAAAGCTATAACCAGCAAGGTGAAAGGCAATTGGCTAGATGTAGCACATGACCCTCGTAAATGTAGGCCCCCCAGACGGTTTGGCGATGTGGGGAAGGTTGATGTAATTGATCTAACGAAGGAAAACGAATCATCCTACAAAAGGCATATGAGCAGAAGTGAAATATTCAAGGGACTTTTTGTAGGTATGTTGTAAAATATAGTTGAACTTAAAGGTTACTACATTTTTTATGCTTGCTAAAATTTATTCACCGCTTAACTTTCCTCCTTTTTCAGGGTGAGAGCGCCATCTATTGCTTGCCATAGCAAGAATTGCGATAAGTCTAACCACTCTTCTAATCCTAGTCTACTTGTATTAATAGCACTAAAGGCCTTAGACTGCATGCAGGCATCTCTCCCACCCCCACTGGCAGGTGACCGTTTGCTTCCATAGCAGCTGTTGGTAGTCAATGCATGTACCTGCTTTGCCACTGACCATCTTCTCAATATATTTTTGTAGTGATTCAGTTTTGAGCTGACTGTGATTTTGTCCTGAGATAAGCCACACATAGACAGCTACAGACTACTAGTCTATTGTATGATGGCTGTGAGCAACATTCAACACCGCTCCCACCTGCACAGGATGTTTGCTTGATCACTTGTATTAAACTCAACAGTTTATATAGCATTACTGCAGATGCATTCCTTTGACTCTTATAATCAAAGGATTGAAGACAATTCACTTGTTAAATTAAGTCTGTTTTTAAGTATAACATATTCTTTTAGTGTTTCCATTAAAAAGAATTTTAGTCTCAAAGGAAATTGTATGACTTTGCAAGAAAAGTAGATTAAAATCTAAGAATCTGGGCCTTTAAGTAATGAAGAGGTGGATTTTGTTCCGACACAATTGCCAGAAAAGAAAAGGCGTTTATTTCTATCAGTCTGGTATTTGTCAGTGTACTACAAATACATAAGGGAAGTAACTCAAAATAATGAATTGTGTCCCTTGCATTTATCTCAGAGATGAAATCTTGCAGCTTCAAATAAATCGGTCTCATCAAGTTATTTCCATAAACTTAGCAATTCAGGTTTGAAAAATATTGATTTTATGTTCATTTGTTTTTTCAATTTGATAATTACTCAATTAAAAACCTGATGTTGCAATCGAAGCCTACAAACACTGAAACGTGAGATAATGCTTTTTTGTCGAGGTGCTAATCAGTGCTTCTTCTGTCCTTTTAGCTTTTACTCTACTATGTTCATATGACAATCAGTGTTGGACAATGTCAAACCCTCCTGTCCAGTTCATGCACAAAGGCATGTTAGCTTTGTCTAATTAATTTAGGCTTATGGCCATATCACATTGAAACACCAGTTCTCATACGATCACTGAAGTTAAACAACATCAAGCCTGGTCAGTACCTAGATGAGTGACTGCTTGGGAATACCAGGTTATGTAAACTTGGATGTGCGGGTAGTGTAATGAGTAACATCTGACAATTAGATATTGGAGAACTGAGTTCCAATTCCAGATGGGTTTGTTATATTCATTTATGCACAAATACCTTTTGGAAAGGTATGAATCCACCTCTTTTCACCCCAGCTATGAGTTAAATAGTAGAACTTTTATCAATAAATCATTATTATCTCCTATGATACAAAAATATTTTCTGGCTTTAAATAACCTGCAAAAGGTTGATAAGCTAAAAAAAAACAAATCAATGTAATTTATTTTACATCTTAATCAACATTTTATAATAATTAGATCTTTTCAAAGTTACAATTTTTTTTTTATACAAGTTTTTGCTATTTATTTTATAGCCTAATTAAGTGCAAAGCCATTAATGGAATCTAATTGAGAGTTTAACTGTTTCTCCCTTATCAGTCATTAATATGCTTTTAATATATTGTTTTATTTCTTATAGTAGTGAAAGTTAGCATAAGTTTAGATATAAAAAGTATTACAGAGTAGTAATAGCTGCTCTATGTTTGGCTTGTCAGTAATAACATTAATATTAATAATAATAATAATAATAATAATGATGATAGTGATGATGATGATGTGGTGGTGGTGGTGCTGCTGCTGGTGATGATGATGATGGGTTTAGATGTTAAGATTTGACTAATCCAGGGTTTGACCATGATGGCTTTCATTAATGCCTTGCTTGATTTTTTACTTGATTCTAGATAGATGCCGCTTCTCCCAGTCCCAGCCCAAAACAAAAGAAACAGCACCCGCACCCAGAGCTGAAGCGGACAAAGTCGCAGGCGGCTACCCGCAAAATTCAGAAGGCTCAAAGCAACGCATCATTGGAGGATAATAATGGAGGAGGTGCTACTACTACTGCTACTACTACTCCTAACACCTTAATATTACTACCATTACTACTTTCCTTCTAGTACCACTGCTACTGGCCGCTGCTTTCCTACTTCTACAACAACTTCAGTTTTCCTTTCAGTAGGGAATCCTTTTGGAAATAACCCAGTAGTTTTGCAAACCTGACCCAGGATTATACATGAATGTGCCAAAATTGTTTTATGGAACTGATTGGTAAAATTGGAAATTGTCAACAAGTAAGATTTATCATGTCCCAAACCACAATGTTTGGTACTACATGAATATATTTTTTTTTTTTTTCTATAGTTGGTCCTTAAATGTACATATGTCCTGCAGCACAAATGTATGCATGGTTCAGTGCACTTTATTTTCTACCATTTCATATATAAAGATCCTAATTGTTTGTTTCTTGTCTTTTGTTCTTCCTGAAATTTAACAGACTTGTAAAGAAGTGCTTTGTCATTTGATCACAAAGTAAGCATGATACATTTGCTTTTTGACAAATGTATAATTTCTTTGTACCAGTTCCAGTCTACAAATGAATTTAGTTAAATGTGCACAAGTTATTTCTTATGTTAAATAAAAAAATACCTGGCAAACATTGATAAACATGCCCCCAATAAGACAGTGTCAAATGGACAGTTTATCCCATGACACCACTGTTTTAACTACCTTCACTCCTTGGCAATGTTTATTGTTTTAAAAAGCAATGATTAGAATTATAATAAAACCTAAATATATGAAAGTGAATTTATACATTTTTTTTTTCTTGAGAATTGACAACAAAAATAATAAACACTGTTTATTAGGGTGTTTATTTACAAGAATAATTTTATATTTACAACATTCTAAAAACTAATAAAGTTAGAACTAATGCAATATTTATCATTTACCAATTTATAAATAAATGTGAAAATAATTTTTTATTCATTAATTTATAAATGTTTACTAAATTATTAAAATATGTGAACAACTGTAAGTAAATCCTTATTATTTACCATTTTTAAAGTTTGAATCAATTGGCAATTAGCAACCATTCAAATAAATAATATAATAAATAAATAAATAGTGCTTATTGTTGTCAATTCTTAAGAACAAAGGAAAATGTATAAATTCACTTTCATATGTTTAGGTTTTATTCCAATTCTCCTCATTGCTTTTTAAAAGCAATAAACATTGCCGAAGAGTAAAGGTAGTTAAAAACGCGTTTCCATGGGAAAACCCATCCTTTTGACACTGTCTTACTGCAGGCATATTTATACGTTTGGCAAATACTTTACCTAATTAAATAGTATTTCATCCAAGTTTCTCTTTTTTTTTTTTTTTCTTTTTTTCTTTATTTTTTTGGGTTATCATTTTGCCAATCAGTTTCCAAAGAACAAAAGGTACCAATTTAATACCAACTGTTTTGCATTTGTTTTTCCCCTCCCAACTGGCTGCCATTCTTGACTTTAGCTAGTCTGCTGATGGCAGATACCAACAACAGCATATTCATCAATGTTTCAATGAAGTGATTTTTAAAGAACCAGGAAAGTTTTTATTGAGACAATTTGCATAAGATTTTCTTCAAGTTTGTGGGTTTACCAAATAGAAAATCATTTTTGAGATTCAGTGAAAATTTACTGCCCTCAATTTTTTGTAGATATTCAGTAAAATCTTAATGAAATAATAAAATTAAATTATCAAACACATCTGTTCAAAAGTTGTCTATAAATAATAACTTTTCACTTCTTTTGACAATATATTTCTCATTTAAAAATAAAATGGCATTGAATTTTGACACAGAAAAAATATAGAAAACAAAAATTTATTTACAATATTTTTCTCTCAAAGAGCTTAATTTATAGAAATTTATCTACAAATTAATAGAATTACACTAACTTGAGTGTTGAATACTTAAAATATGTAGGCAGAAAATTTGCTCTCTGTCCCTTGCCTCTTTGATTTTTAATTCAACATTTTATCTTGTGTGACTCTAATAACCATTGTAAAGTAAAACATGAATATTTAAGCTTTTAATGAAATGCAATTTGACTACTGCCCATAAGTGAGGTTCAACCATTTCTTTTATAGTCAAGTAGTTCAGATGGCTGCCTTCCACCACAATCTTATATAATCAATCTATTTTAATATAGGTATTTACTAAGCTTAACCTAGTCTGGCATAAGGCCACAAAAATACAGACGTCCTGTGAGAATTGCATTAGTAATGGTTGCCTAAACAAACACCCTATGAGCTCCTGCCCCAACCTATTTAAGTATAGTATAACAGCAGTAATCAAAGAAAAACTACATAGTAGATTCATTTACATCTTCTGTTAGGAAGTTGTGGCATATTTTCTTACTCTCTGAAATAAAATATTAATTGTATGATTCCTTATCAATAAAATCATTGAAAGACAATTGTTTGAAATCAATTTCTTCAGGTTACCATTTCTGAGGTTTTTCATGTTAGATATCTTGTTTAATGTTCTATGAAATCTGGGAATTAAAATTCTGTTCAGATTCTCTTTTTTTTTTTTTTTTTTGTTAGATCCTGTCACCAATGAAATACCTTTTACTTCTTTACTAATCACTTCATTGATAATTCAGTCACTGTATATAATATTTGGTACTATATATTATAACTGATGTTATAATATTTAGTATTATATATTTTAAATTAACCATTGATGAGTTAGTAACATCACCACCAACCTGTATGGATCAGTATAAAGGGTTGATACAAGTACATGGTTATTTTCCTGTTAAATTCAAATTGGCACCTTATTTTCATATTGATTATTATAAAATTTGCTTCCAAATAGGTTTGCTGTTTTGTCTCCAACTTGTCAGTTTTAAGATTAAATGTAAAAACTACCTTCTTCAA